TTGGTGCAGAATTCCTGAGTACTGACTTACCAAAGAACTCACAAGTATTAAATTACTTATCGGAGGTTTAAAAGGCTGTCCAGAGAATTTACCAAACAGGGGCAGTATCAATTGCCTCATACTTTATCAAGAAACTAGGGTTTTTCTGAATCAAGAAATGCACTGTTACTTTGCGACGAGCGACTTATCAACGTCATATTTCGTATTGTTCGTATTGCCTGGAACCAGTGATGAAACAGTCCGGGAGGTGCGCCGATGAAGTCATGATCTGGACATTTTAAAAACTAGTTGACATCGACTGAACCAAGTCATCTTTATTGGAGACTGGCATACAAAACCCTCATAAGGACAAATAATTAGTTATCCAACACTGCACAAGATAGGTAGCAGTAGCAAACAGTAGCGGAAAACGCGGGAGCACCGTAATTTCATGCTATATCTGATTAGTGTAGTGAGTTAGGTCATTGAGGCCGTGTATTAGAATTACAGCCATCCTATGCAGATGGCGCAACGAAGCATTTCGAAGATTAGTCACCATGTTCAGTCAAGTGCTTCTCAGGTCATAAGAGAGAATTGTGGGTTATGTGGAGTTGAATTGGGTTAGCTTCATGCATCTTATGTTTTAATCGTCTCTACTGATTGCAGTGCCTCGTTTGTGAAATAGAAGCTTGTCATCGTCCATGGTTGAAGGGAGAATTTAAGTAAATAAAATTCAGTCGAATTGACATGTTCTGCATAGCATTACTTCGGTTTCGTCTCTTCTTCGGAATTGCACTAACTGTCGTTTCCCATCAAAATGGAGGTGATGTTATACGAAGGAAAGAAGCGAACTTTGCCTTCACTGCTGGATATCAGTGTGCAGGTGTGACCTCAGGTCGACAAGGCGTTACATTTCTCAGGTTATATGACGTTTGAATACACCGAATATTTGATCAGTTCTAGACGCTTTGCCTTCTTTGTTTCTGTCATAGATAAAATAGACGGACAAAAGCGCATCAGAATTTCAACTTGACTTTAATTCTTTGAAATATCGTTTTTAGCACCGCGTCTGCCTGACACCTAAATTTAAATTAGTTGGTCGATTTATTCGAGGCATTGATAATAAAGTCTCCGTAATTTTAAAAGATAAGAAACTCTCCCGCTTCGTTAAACTACGCCTATGTCTTACCTCAAGCAAGTCGCTGTTTCTTCATTGAGCAGAAGCTATCGATTTACTTGCCGTTTCTTGACTGGTTGCACTCTACTACTTAGTTCCTTCTTTGACGAAATTAGTATGTACTAAGACAGATTTAAATCGTGCCTTTAAAACAAGCCTTCTACGTGTTCTCTGTTGGGTTGGCTATGATGTGTCATTTCGCGACTCTTCAGAATCGATTTCAATATTAGCGTTATGACTTTCCTGAGTAAAAATGGTTCTTGTTTAATTGTGTGAACAGTTATCAGCTCGTTATTTGCGTTTTTTCATGTT